CGCGTCGAAAGATCCATGACGTACCGTGACGTTTAAAATAAACGTGTTTCGACGCAAAAGGAATTGCGACTCGCTTCCTGAAAAATCGATCGCGGTCCCGCGCGTCCGAACGCACAACGCCGTTTCGTAACCGTTGCCAACCGTTATTTCTTGGAGGGTCAGCTTCGCCCTAGCGATTTTTCAAAAATATTTTTTTTTTTCAACCGGTCAAAATCCTGCCCGTAATTACGGCGACCGATATGTCGCTCGCGTTGTCGCATCGTGATATTTATGTTCGGTCCAAAATTTGTATCACGAGTCGAACTCGTTAAAGTACGGCAGGGGGTTAAAGGGGTGTTTGCAATGCTCGTCCCGCACGAGTAACGGCTTGGTAAAAATGCCGCGCGGAGACGGCCGGTAAATTTCAGACGATATTTTCGGCTCAAGGACGCCCAGGTTCTTAATCGTTTCTACTCGCCGGTTTCGCGTCCATTGCCCGCAATTAGCAATTACCTTTCCCGTTACTCCGGGTTTCCCCTTTCCCACCGGAGAGGGAAATTATTGTTCGCCTGGGAAAGCCCGCCTCAGAAATGTTTACCGATCCTCTGGAATCGTTAAGTGCTCGATGCGTTTAAATACCGATCCTATCCCAGTGAATCACTCGAATCGCGACGAGTGATTTAATCGCCGCGCTTGTTGTCAGATATGGATACCACTACGCTCTTAACGCTCGAAAAAAAATAGAGTACTCGTGTGCGCGTTACCAATACACCGAGAAATTTTCTAGAACAATTCTTTTTTTGCGCATTAACAACAACACGATACACCCTTTTTTCCTACCGAACGCACTGCCGTACCGTGATACTCGCGCGAACGCGATTTACGTTCGCGCTAGAGAGTAGAACGGTAGGTTTCACTTTTTATTAGAGGTTACGTGCAGTTTTTGCAATGGTAATTTTGTTGTAACGTCAGTTTATCGTTTTGAGGGCACTAATCTGTGATAACGGTAATACGGAGTGGATTTAATGGTTTTGAGAAACTGTGTCCGCCATTTTAGAAAATACGTCACTGAACGTTCGATTTCACTAATTTTAGAAGCGAATGGATGAAATACTAAATCGTAAGGAAGTATGATAAAGGAAATTATTTTTCAGTTGGAAGTATGGTAAGGCTCCTATTGGGTTCTCGATTGAAGAGAATCCCCGAAGTATTTCTCAGAATGCGCCTTATCGCGCGATCGAAGAAAAATGTTGGCGCGGCGCACAGTATTTTCCAAAGAGAATCTCGAATATTTCTTTGCTGATGCTCGGGTTTCAACCCTTTGAGCGGCGTCGCAGAGGGTGCGGGGAAAATGGCGTCCCCGCCGGGATTTTTGTGTGAACAGCACGGGGGATCGTATTAAGAGGCGGGTGGAATTACATTTCCTTGAGCACGGGACAAACGGGGCGTCCTTATCGTCCCGAGAGAGCTAATCTTCTTTCGAGCGCGTTGATAAATCGTTCTCGGACGACAGTTTTTCTATGCGAGCGCGCGACCGCGTCTACTCCGACGCTTGTCTTCGGGAACGGAGCCGTTTGTTATGTAAACACAGAGTTGATCTGTGGACAGAGCCAAAGACAAATATGAACCGCGATAAAATTTTGTCGCCGGTCATCGGTGAAAACTGGGGGTGGGTTCGGACTTAAACTTTTTATCCTCGAAACTCGAATCCGTAGCTTGGCGAGCTTTCGAAACTCAAGGCGCTGAGTTTATTCAGTAACAGGAATAATATTGTCGCACAAATCATTATTGACTGGAACAATTCTTGTACAGAAGAACACTATTCTGCTGTGATGAACGATCCTCAGTCATTGATTTAATCGTTATTCTCATTCGAGTTTCGAATTACAGAAAGGAAGGTGCAAAGTTTCGAATTCTTGAAACTCGAAACATTCTATGGTTCTGAAATGTGTCGAGGTTTCCCTTCGGAGCAAAACCACCCTTAGTGAAAACGGAATCTTGGAATCGTAGCCTGGACTTTGGAAAATCGGGAAGAATGCGTCGACGGTGGGGATGAAAAAAGCGTTTAATTAAAATAATACTCGCTGAGAGAATCGGCGGGCGGTGCGTTCTCTCGGCCGGACCGAATATTCGCGCGCGTAATTAAAATTTCCATCGCTTTGAATTCAGTCCGAACGACGTGCCCCTTTTTGCGTATTAAATATTATAGTCCCCGGTACGCATTTGCCGGCGCAGGACGGATTCGTTAACTTTTATCCGTCAGTCCTTCGGCGCGCTATTTTCCGGCTAAAAAATGAGAAACGCAAATTTTCGTTTCGCCCCGTTTCTTCTTTTTCTTATTGCGCAGCTCGGTTTTCGGTTTCGTTCGTCGGGATGTTTCTCGAGCTTTGCGTAAATATTACTTTAACAGTCCTCGGAGGATTTATTCCGAGGCTTTCCTTTTTAAGTTAAACAGTGGCGACCGTTCTCAGCGCAATGAAGTATATGCTATGAAGTATATACGTACAAAATGGAAATCCGATCATGAATCATTGATTTTATCTTAACCGCTTAACAGAGAATTTCTTCGCGCGAGGCAACAGTGCAACGTGGAGTTTTCCTCCGAGATTTTTTGCAATTTAACACGCTTTAACGTAATTCTATTTTTCTCTTGAGTTTATTGCTCCTCTTTACAATTAGTTTTCTGACAAAAAGGATGTTTATATTTAAGAAGTATGACAAAAAAGTAAATACTAAACAAATACTTACAAAGAGATTTTTATTTTAGAAACGTATTTTAGTGTGGAATTCATCAAAACGTTTTGTTGGACGCAATAAAAGACTTTACATTGCTTGCACATAAAATAAACTAATTTGCGGTCTTTTCTTGCTGCGCATACGACACGTTGTTTCCTCGTATGACGATATTCTCGATGAACTTTTGCAAATTCTTGCTCCATATGGTAACTATGGCTATTAAGGTGTTAAGTAAAATTTAGTAAAATTTCGTTGTCCTATGGATTTATTAATAACCGTTTATTAAAGCCTCTTCTAAGCTCTCTAAAATTCTTTGGCTCTCGGACAAACACCTTTCCCTTTACACTTTATCGAGCGATTGACCATTCATTCGAAAAATTCGAAAAGCGCTCCGAACATTCCAATCCACTCAAATATTACTCGATTCATTAAACGCAGAGTCTTCAACCAGAAATGTTCAACAGTTTCAAACGACGTGTAGACGGCATTGTTTAAAGCTGTCTAATTAAAAAACACGTAAATTAAGCGACAAACTCAATTTCATTTCAATTTCGATACTTACAATTTTCCTGCATGGAAATCAAGCGGTGGCTAAGAGTCGTCCCTCGATCACAAAGGGATGAAACAGAGAAATCGAACCGAAGCAAAGTTAAACACGAACCAAATACTGTTCGCAATCCATATTCAATTCCCGCCACATGGTGGCACAGTTATCAGCCGAATCCAACGGCGAATCTCCCCCGTGAAGTGCGAGCCGGCACTAGAACGTCGCTGTGGGATTTTCCGAGGGTTCCTCAGCCCATTGTCGCACGCGGCACGCATCGCGCTCGCGGCGTATCTAAACGCATAATTAAACGACGTTGCATCATGGGCAAATTGCAATAATCCTTGCGCATTCGCCGGGTTTCCTTTCACGGGGGAGCGCGAGGGAATAATTGCTTTTGCTTCATTGTGCAACGCGCGCGAGCGGATCGCGGCACGCGCTTCGTCCCGTGGCGGGCTGGAGAGAGAGAAAGTCAGCAGCTCCTACGGATATTTGTTTCGTTGCCCGTATTCGCCGGAAGCCACGCTTTTCTGCCCGGACCAGGGCGTTCCTTATTCGAGCCGATTTGCGGAAACCTTCGAGACAGGTATCAGGAGGTACACGGCCCTTCCGGATTCGAGTCGAAACGTGAATCTCCACTGCTGCTCTCCTCCCCCGCAGCCTTTTTAGACGACGTATTATTGTGTCCTTTGACGAGGGCCGGGATACACTGCGCCGCCCTTTTACGGAGAGAGAAGCTCCGCGAGCGCGGGTATTTCAATGACGAATCAGGCAAGTAAGGAACACAGAGGATCTTTTCTGATAAGAAGACCCGGGGACATTTTTATGGAAATTCGATTGTGGCCGACGCACCGGGCGGATTGTGAGATTGCAGCTGGTGCGCCTTTGGTCCGCGGTGAAATTCGACAGTTATATACGTAGTTTCTTTCAGTTACAGTCTTGTTAGGAAATCTTTCCCGAGGTCTGTGAGGGATTGAATGAAACAAGT